AAACAATACAGAGTAAAGGCATCTTTGCTTTGGCAGTAAGTGCCAGAAATTGACAACCTTCATATTGAAGATAACCAGTTGAAAAGGATGCATCAAAAACCTACCACATGTAAGAGGCAATATAACTTAGTAAGTTATCACCAGACTCTCAGGCTCTCACAGCTGGTTTTAAATCTAGGCTCTGGCATTTGCTCCAAATGCTGGGAGGTCAAGTCATTCAACCCTGTTTTTTTGGTAAAAGAAGTACAATGATATCTACCTCATTTAGCTGTCCACGGGATGAAATGAGATGATAAACACAAGGAGCACAGAAAAGCACCCAGCATATTAAGCACCCAAAATTTGGCTTATATATCCTTGTGCAAGGCACTGGGGGAAAAGATTGTGAAATAAGTAAGACTCACCAGTTCTAAGAATTTACCTAGAACTTATTTCCTTATGATCTATGTAAGGAGGCAAAAGTAACTTACATGCAACAATTTGAGACAATTAAGTGTTGATACTATTAGTAGAGTTAAAAATGGGAGATGAAAAAGATGAATGCAAACTCATGCAACTAAATGGATCCAGGAAAAAAGGCTTTCCTTAGTTAATTTTTTCAGAAAACATCAGATTGTTCAAGTAACACAGTTGGCAGTGGACTGCAGGGGATTCCTTCAATCCTTACATTCATTAATTCAAATATAATTTCACACTTGAGATTCAGGGTATCTAAAAACTGAAAATGAAAACTGCTAACCAAAGAATCCTCACTAAATAACTAACTAAAAGGGAAAATTAAACTTGCGAGTACCGATAACAGAAATTAGGAGGTAACAAATTCTAGGCCTCTGATTCTAATTAACACAAGTAATTCAGCAGATTCTGGTTTAATATTTTGAGGTACATTCTAACTCACAGCAAATATAGCATTCAATTTTAATATTAACACGTTTTTACTGAAAGACTACCAGAAAGGTTCGAACTAGAAAAAATAAGCTAAAAAGATTCAGTGCACTCTGATACAATTCTTAAATATTCTCCTTCTAACTCTAAATACAGTGATCTGTCAAAATATCCTATATTCTTTATTGATAAAATCTATATGACTTAGGTAAAGCTACATAGCTATTTAAAATGTCAATTATATTATTTCTTCTTATTCTGACCATACAAAATGATATTACCAAACTCAGCTATATGTAGACACCTTAGGCATCTAAAGACATCCAAGACACCGTAAGACATCTAAACCCAGGGATTGAAGTTTGAATTCAACATAATTTTACATACATAACCTAGTAATGAATTATTTTATCTTGCATTTGACTCAGTAAGTCACGAACTGTAGATGCTCAGTAACTATATGCCAAATAAGGTTACAGAGAGCCCAGATACAGAAAACCCTGTTTCTAGCACCTCGGCTGCGCTAGCTGCAAACTAGCCACATACAAAGATTACAAATAGGGTGGGGGGTGAGTGTGGGAGGTGAGGTGAGACCACATGGTGTAAAGCAGATCACGTATGGAGGCTCTCCAGAGAAAATGTTCATATTTTTAAACACCTTCTTAGGGTAGTTTTTGTGAGGGTCTTGGGAAAAAAATATTTTCCTTTTCTCATTTTTATCACTCCAAAGCATGTTCATTGTTCTTCAAATTTTTCTTGTCAAAATAAAATGAATTCTGATTTTTGTTTTACTTGACAATATTTCAGTAGGTTTTGTCTTAAATCTGACATCTTTTGAAAACTATAATTTACAAATTAACAGCTATCATAAACTAACAAGATTTCCTAGGAATCATGTAAAAGATTTAGTACTCTAGCTTTGGGAGTCTGGCAAGGGCACAAAGTTTCCAAAAATAACTTTAATTTTTAATATAGTAGAACAGTAGTCTGGGGGAAAATAGAGCTATTATGGCAGTATTTTAACATGAAGTATAAGAATTCCTGTAAGATTCACAGATGTGCTTTAAAGAAGTCCAAGAACTCACTGAAATAATATGCAACAATTATAGTATTTTATGCAAACATACTTTTTCTAGGGAGAGGAAACACAGGTCTTATTTTTCAAAAGGTCAATGAACACCTCTCCACAACCCTAACTAGGAATGAGTGAAGAAAAGGGCATCTAAATTTGTGAAAACAAATACTAAGAAAAATGTTAAGGTATGATTTTCATTCATTTTTATGATGTACTTAGCCACAAAAGCCATTTTGTTAAAACACAATGTTCTATTAGCTATTTTTAAAATTAAACCACTATTCTTTATATTTTTTTCTGGTGCTATTAAAATTTTTACTGGGACTAAGTAACTAGCCTTCCTTTAGCATAAAAATGTTAACTTTTCTGAAAACCCAAGAACATTTTCCTAACAAGTGTTTGCCATTTGCAAGTAGATTTAATAAATTAGGTGGTTTTTTTCCTATTATTGTTAGCTAATGAGACACATGAAATTATTTGCATTCCAGATACTAATATACTGATATTACTATTACTTTGAGATTTATTTCCCCAGAAAGATACTTGATGTATACCATATTTTTAGGACTATAAGATGCACCTAGGTTTTAGAAGAGAAAAATAGGGAAATTTTTGAAGAAAAACATGTGGCAAAATATTTAATATCCTGTGACCCTGCTCCACGGCTGCACCCTCCTACCCCCACAGAAAGCCAGGCAAGCTACATTTGGGCTATAAGACACACCCCCACTTTCCTCCCAAATTTGGGGGGGTGTGTCTTATAGTCCGAAAAATGCGGTGATACCATTATTAAGCTACAGCAAATCAAATCCAAGTGCTCCTGTGATCTGACCACCTGATTACTATGATTTATGTATAGAAAGTTTTATTCTTTACCACTTGCCTCCACAGACTTCCCAAACACCAGCTGAATGTGATAAAGCAAGAGACTAGGCTGGGGTGGGGGTCTCTGCCCTATGCTAAAATGAACAGAGCAAGGGCGGTAGGTAAAAGGAGAGTTCAATCTGCACTGTTCTTCTTGGCTTCTTAGAAGTCTGCCCAAGTTTTAGGCTTCATGAACAAATTTCTTTCTCCAAACTGGGAAGTTTATCCAGTTCCCTTTAACAGTTTTTAGGTAGTCTTAGGGCCCCTGCTAGTATATCCCACTCTGACCTTGGACTTCTGAAATTCAGGAAATTTTAAATTAAAGTTCAAATATTTCCCAAATCTGAGTTAGTTTGAGGCCTAAGAGTTTCCGTGTATCCACATATAAAACTCAAACTGACAATGTGATAAAAAAAACCGCCATTGATAAGAATCACCAAAGACAAAAACCCAGACACACATTCTTCTATACAGAATGTAAGCTTCTTTGCTCACTGTTTCACCCATTCAGTTAAACATTATGTCCTACAGGTGTGACCAGCTGTGGGGATTCACAGAATATAAAACATAACTCAAATTCTCAACAGATTTAGTGTATCAGGAAAATTTCAAATGTTCAAGGGTGATTAAAGCAAACATGCAGTTTGTAGCTTTACCTGAGCATCACACATATTAAAAAATTCCATTTTACAGATAGCTAGAAGTAATTTATGCCCATCCTGAGCATCCATAGTTATATTTCTGCAGCACTTGACATCAACAGCACAAAGAAAATGAATGAAAATAATTTTTAATTTATCCTTTACTTAGGATATTTATCAATTACATGTTATAATGCCATTCTCAACTTAAAGAAAATTTGGCTTTAAACAATACGCTATTCCAATAGCTGAGAAAAGAGATTCCCCTCTTTTATTAAGTTTTTTAGGACACATCAATTTATACTCCTCATTAGAGATACGACACTTAAAAAAAAAAACAAGAAAGTATTTTCCTCCTGCTTCCACAATTCTTTCCAGTCACCCCGGATGATCACAAGCAGAGTTAAAGGTAGAAAGTCAACAGGTACAATCAGCATCACAACATTTCCCAGCTGAATTTTTTTCCCAATGGGCATTTTGGAAATTAAAATTACAAACTAAATCCAGATCGGCAAGTAGCTGCTGGGTGATGAGAAATTTAAATTTTAAAGCAAATATGTAATTAATTTGGCAACTTAACCTCATAACTCAAACCTAGTAAAACAAATCACAGTTGAAAAAATCCTAATAATTTTAATTTATGATGAGGGAGTATGCTCTTAGATTGTAATTTTTTTTTTTGGTTCACCTCATCCAACATCAAGCAAGAGGAATACAGTAATTCACTTAAGGGTTAGAAATTGGGCACATCTTTTGAAAAATTTCAACAGTGTGTTTCCTTTATATGGTGTTACAATAAATACTCCATAAAACTGTTAAAGCCTTACACGATAAGGTCTGTCTTGAGCCCAGCACTTATCATTGTCTGAAACAGTTCAGGAAGTGTTGCAGTTATAAAATATTTACCTTGGACTACAGTGGTTAACTTTGAAGTATGTTCTTCAAATTTTAAAAAGGCAAAGTAAATTTTTTTACACCTGCTAAGTTACTGGACTTTTTACATAAGAATGTCATTCAAGTTTTCTAAAATATTAACTTTGATTTCACATTAAACATCTCTAATATATGTACTTTGAAAAAACAGTATTGTCATTAAGATGTGTTTGTAAAATTATCCAGACCGCTAAAAGAAATTTGAAAAGGGGAAGCCTTGAATACATTACTCCTTTCCCACATAAAAAGCACACTCATTAGCAGAATATTCACTTAGTTAAATAAAATATTACCTGGTTTCTAAGGCACAATGTTTATAACATCTAAAGTAGAATTTATTTGATGAACTGCATTAAGCCCTCAGAACATTTGCTGCAACTTGAGTAGAAAGAGGCAAGTATTCACATAATATATTAGTCTATAGTCAAAAAAGATATTTCATTTAAAATATGTCAATGTAATACCTAGAAGAGTTTCTTTATAGATTGACATACAGTTCTTACTGCTTTACAGGGTAACCTAAACTCAATTTTCTTTTGTTCAACAATGTCTTGTTTCCACTGCATAAAGCTTGGTCTCCAGTTCCACGACCCAATGCCTACCTTACATTATGTTGTACTTCACCGGTACCACATAGAGTGATTACGTTATAAAAGGCCTCTAGATCACTTGGTTCAAATTTAATAGCTGGTTTCATTAATGCTCCAGGAGCAAGGGAAGCCTCTCCAATAATTCTCAGGTTGATAAATTTGATTTTCCAAGTATTCTCCACAAAAGGGCAGCGGATGAGTCCAAAAATTTGTTCAAAAATGCCCAAGCAAGTGTTCCCTCGGTGGACAGTCCCAGCAACTCCAACCATAACCAAACCATGAGGAGAAGAGGCACATTTCAATCCACGGGAATCAAGGTTGGGACTGAGAAAAAGATATTCTTCTTTCACTAGTGACAGCAGACGAAGGCTCACGATTTCTGCTCCTTGGTAGTCTATCACATTTTGTTCAGAGGTGTTATAGTAAAACCTAAGCTTGACATCATGCCAGAAGTGCTGTGGTCCCCATTCATCTTGAGGTGGTCCAAGAAAAGGATTCTGAGAATTAAGAAGTTCAAAGAACCAGTGACAGAATTCTTTTCCTAACTGACGAAAATCAACTTTTTCAGTTTTATCTTCTTTCTCCTGCTGATTAAGATAAATACAAAATAAAACCAAGGTTAATTCTCCTATTTTTCTATCTAACCTGTTTCACAAGGGATATGAACTACATGTAAACTCACTAAAACTACCATGCATAGTAAATTCTCTCTGCAAAAAGAGGAAAAATCGTTTTAGAATTTCCAAGATTAAACATCTAAAAATCGAGCTAAGAAATTAAAGTTTAACAAAGCCTCTTAAAATATCATCATGTACAGTCAATAATGATTTACATAAGCATCTCCTATTGATTGTGGCAATGGTTTCACAGGTATGAAAAAATATGTCAAAACCTTTCAAATGTATGCTTTAAATGAATATATTTGTGGCATATATTTGTGGCATATAAATCATACCACAATGAAGTTGACAATATCAGTTTTTAAATAGATATTTCTAATATTGAAATAGGTTGTTTTCTATGATCACAATGGCTTTTACACTACTTCTCTCCCTGCCCCAAAGAAAATGTTATTGTAAAAATATACCTGATAGGCTAGATTTTCATTCACTTATTTATTCCAGAGCATAATACCTCATTTACATGTTATGAAATCTTATATTTACTGAGCACATACTATTTAATATATTGGGCACCATGCTTTGCACTTCAGTTCTACTTCCTTTTAACTTCACAAGCTTTGTGATCTAGATATTATCCTTATGCCCATTTTATAGATTTTTTTTTAAAGACTCAGAAAGGTCAAGTTATTTGCACAAGTTCACATCTAATATGGCAGAAACTAATTTGAAGTCACATCTGTCATGATTTCAAAGTCAAAGTTCTTTTCAGTACATTAAGGAACTCATTGTAAGATTCTTTCCTAATGTGAAGGTAAATATCTCTCACTGTAAAACCTCATTAACTCAAAGTGCACTTTGAATGTGGTATGTAATTTAAAAATCTGCAAATGGCACAGAGGTTCATTCAATCAACATTTAAATATTCAACCAATATACAGTGTGAATGTACAGTAGGGATAGAAAGGACAACGAAGAGCCAACATCAGCCAGAGAAAATTTATAACAGAGTTTTTTCTAGGTTAGAAAAAAATCAAATGTAATGAATAAGTTTCTTTTATGGGATTTTTTCAATTTAATACCAAAGAATGTTTTCAAAATGAGAAAGGGCTTACAATAGCATTCATTCATTCATTCATTTTTCATTACTTTCAGAGAGACAAAGAGAAACATCGATGTGAGAAAGAAACAAAAATTGGTTGACTCCAGTAAGTGCCCAGGACTGGGGATCAAACTTGCAACTAGGCATGTGCCTTGACCAGGAATCGAACCTGCAACCCTTCAGTTATGGGTCGATGCTCCAACCAACTGAGCCACATCAACCAGGGCAGTAATATTCTTTTAAAGTAAAAAAAAAAAAAAAAAAAAAATTACGGAAAACTAGAGGCTAAATTAAAATTACATTGATCCGGCAGTCTATCCACCCTCTTTTAAAAATCAAATACTCCTGATTTGATAAGGGGATAAATTTTTTTTGCCTCACAAATCAGAATAGTATGTTATATACATTACTAAATGTCAGAAATATTGTCTTTTAGACGCTTTATTGGTCTTCCTTTAGAATACATAAGATATGAAGTAAAGCTAAAAATTATTTTAAAAAACTGTTAAAATGTTACCCCAGATCTAGAATTAGGCTAAAGAGTCTGAGACAAAACTATGGTTCAGGTTGTAACTCTAAGATCACTTTTACCTGTTGAAAGATTTTAACATCCATAGAGGTCTTAACTGGCTCTGGTGTTGCCTTCAATTTCAGATGTAATTGCTTTTTCCAGTAATCCTTTGCATGCTGGATAAGACTGTGTTTTTCAGTAGCTGGAGGTATAATAACCCCCTGTGTTGCCAAGTACTTAAATATGACATCTCGGTGGACTTTTTTACGCTTCAGAAGTTCTTCTACATTTTGACTGTATGCTAATATTGCACGAATAGCATCTAGAAGGAAATTGTAAAGATAAATAGAAAATCATGAGTCACTTGTACATTAGTCCAAAGTCAGCAGATACTCTATTTATACTCGTCATGGCATTTTTGCTTCTACGTGAGATGGTTATCATTTTTTAAAAATAGGTAGTGGGTTGTCAGATTTTGGGTTTTTTAAGAAACTTCTTTAGGCTTTAAACTTCCCTACCTAAAATTCCCTCATTTCACTTTTTATAAGATAAAGTGAAATTTTAGCATTTCTTTTATAGTGTTTTAAGAAAAAAATTGAGCCAAAGTAAAAAAGTTTCTAATAAGGCCAATGGACGTAAATTCAGTTACAATCCATAAAATGGGTAAAGTTACAATATTTAGATGTGCAAAAACTTTTAGTTCAATCTCCTCATTCTATACATAATGAAACTTAAGGGTTCATGAAGTATCAATAATCATACTTCTAAGAATAGGCAGAAACCCGATTGTACTTTAAATTAGAAAATTATTTTAAATGATAAATCAAAGATTATTTTTAACATGTGTGAGGTACACAGAATAGCAATAAAATGAACTCTCAAGTACACAGCATGCAGCTTAATACAGGAAATAACTAACATCTTTGAGGCTGTAATTTTACACCTTCCTACTTAATACCATTCCCTCTTCCCACCCACTTCACAGGTAGCTATTATCCTAAATGTCATTTACTATTCTCCCTTTTTTAAAAATAGTAGTTGCAGCATAACTATGCATCCCTAAACAATATAGTTTTGTATTTTTTGAACACTGTAAATTTCAACCCATCAATAGTCTATAATCAACTTTTCCCTTAATGTTTTTTCTGAGATTAAACTACATGAATATACATAGCTCTAGTTAATTCATGTTCACTGTTGAACCATAATTAATTATATGGCTATATCACAAAGTATCTATCATTCTTTTTATCGTGCGTGTCCAATTACAAACTATTACTTTCATATGCCTCCCACTGCAGAGGGGCAAGTGGATGAGCATTACCTATGAGCTTGTTAAAAATGTGAAATTTCTGTACCCACACTAAAACTACTGAACCAGAATCTGCATTTTAACAAGATCCCTGAGTGATTTCATAGGCACATTCAATTTTGAGCTCAGTCTAGAACGTGTACCTCGGAATAAACAATCTTCCATTTTAGGAGACAATGTCAAACTTGTTTTCCAAAGAGGTAGTTCTAAAAGTTGTACAGGATCACCAAAGCTTGAAGTTTATACATTAAGTTTTTTGCCAATATGGTACATAGAAAAAAAAAGATATATGTTTTGGTTTTCATTTCGCTGCTTTCTAAAGAGGTTACCTTTTCATATGTTTACTGATTTTTTTCCTCTTCGAGAAATGTTTCTTCAAACCGTTTAACATTTTTGTACTGAGAACTTTATTTTTATTTGCTTTTAGATCCATCAATTAAATCCAGCACTTTGATCTACTATAATTTTAAGTTCACTCACCTGGTCTTTAGAGGTGCCTAGAATGTGAAATATATAAATGCGAAGAACTACATTAAGTCTAAAACCACTTTCAGTCTAGATTCATAGGAATTTCTTCTTGTAATGTTTATGGTATGAAGTTTCAGATGAGATTTTTCTTAAATGATAACAATGTAAACCTGACTTAAGTAGAAAACTACAATCTTAAAAAGCTGAATCTTAGTAAGTAAGCCTTTACTAATGCAGGGGGCAGTAATTTTCACATTTAAAAATAAAATCCAGTAAATTTAAAATAAAACTAGACAAGTGACACACAAAAAGAAACGCTTAAGCTACTCATTTTTATACTCATTACAATCAGGCTGAATGTTAATAACCCTTGAAATCTATTCTACCGAAATGTTTGACTCCGAAAATGGTTTTTCTACTACAAAAAAATCATCTCAGAAAAAAATCTGGATCCAAAAAAGACATGAATTCAAACCACCTGCTTTTATTACAGTGATTGTTTTAACTAGTATATTGATACAAATGTTTTAAACTTCCCAGCTTGAAAATGCGTGAGCAGCAGCTGACACACTCAGCTGATCAAAACAAAATGGAATACACCCTGGTTCCCGAATTTTTTTTTCTAAAGTGACTATTCACGTACTCTGGTTCCTCGAAACAACAAATAGTTCCCTATAACACTCAATGGGTAAAACCAGCGCCTTTTCGATTGCCACAACCTCCCCCAGGGACTAGGCGCGGCGAGGCAGCCCGAGGTTGCGTTGCAGTTCCAAAACTGCTGAACAGCTGCGCTGACCGAGATTCCCGAAGGTTGCGCCCCAGCGCAGTACAGGATGAGTTGGGGACAAGGCCTTGCACCTCCTCCACTCACAAGATCCCGTTACCTAGGGGCCAGTGAGGCTCGGGGTGCGGCGGCCGGCCTTGGGGATAGGGTTCTAGCCTTACCCTGGCGGTCCTCAGGCTGCACTAGGCGGTTTGTGATGGTGTCGCATAGGGCCAAGATATCATCGTCAACTAGTAGGGCGAGCATGTTACGACAGCCCTCTCTCTCTGGGTCGCTGAGCCCCGACATCTCGACCCCCAGGTAGGGGGGAGAGGACAACGCCAATAATGTCGCTCCTTTAGGCCCAAGGGGCCGGCGCCTTGGCAACAGGCACCGGAAGTGCCTTTCGTGCTGTTCGTAGCCAAAGCGCCTCCTGTATTCCAAACCCTTGGGCGGAAGTGACCGCCAATGTGGTCAATTAGGAAACGCAGTGCTCCAACTTGTCCTTCCGGGATGGCAGGTACGGACCGTGGTCCCGCCAGTCTCACTTTAGGAAGCACCCCGCTTACACCGAAAACATCGACCATCCACTTGAGAGCTGGTTGCGGAAAGCGAAGCCCTGAATCCTCAGGAGTGCCTCTTCCAAGTGTGCCTGGGACGGCTGCGCAGTGCAGGTGCGTGGAAAGCGGGAGTCGGCCCATTAGTGTACGGCGAACTCCCGTGATGCCGCGGGGCCGGCCAATGGAGGCACCTCCTCTCCGTCCGCAGGCCCAGCCCCCTGGAGGGCTTGAAAATCCTATGGGGCCGCTTCGAAGTTGGGTGTGCCTATAGTTTGATTCTCTTAAATTGTATAGTACTGTGTTAAAATACTATGGTTTTAACAATAGACTATGAAAAGTTGTTTTTGTTTCTCTGCAACCATCCTATGCCACAGCTGCCTGCCTTTCTGCTTACTTCCCTCTCAAGCTGAGCTTGGCTGTTGCTTCAGTACGGGCTTAGTTTTAGGGTGGGCAGTTGTCGCGTAGCAATTTAAAGTTAGGACGCTGGAAGTCGGAGGCCAGGGTTTTACTCTGCCATTTACAAATGGTGACCGTGGGCAAGCCGTTTTGTCCCACAGTTTCCTATCTCGAAATGAATCTAGAAGAGATACTTACAAAGGTTGTTGGCAAAGGGGGTGCAGCAGAAGGAGGGCATGAGGAACAGTGCCTGTCCCTTCTTTAGAAAGAACGCAACACGTATTAGCTTTTAGCACCCACATTCACGAGAGAGAGACAGTCCTGCTGTCCTGAAGGAAGTCTGGATTAGGAGTCAGACTTAAATCATTTGCCTTATATGGATTTCTAACAAATTCTGAGGTGCTTCTGATTCTGCCGCTCTGGGGACCACACTGTAAGAATCACTGCGGGTAGAAGTCTGTAGCTAACTTCATCTTTTGTCCCTGAAATCAATAATCATCAGACAAGTCTAGTCCTCTCAATCTGGATCTACTAGATCCACTTAAGTTCTACATTTGTAGGGAAAACTGCATGACCAAAAACTGCATGGAGTTAAAGGTTTTAGGTCACATCTGATATTTCAGTTCCACCTAGTTATTAGCTATGTGACTTTAATCAAGTTATTTAACTTTTCTGAATCTAGGCTTCTAAAAAGCAGTGTTCTTATCTACTGTCACAATTAGGGATTACACAAAATAGCTGGTACACAGTAATTTAGTAAAACAAGAAGCCTTTCTTCCGCAGTGTGCAGCACCCCCAAATGCCATGTACTATTGGATTGCCTTCATTTCAAATTTTGCTATATAACCAAAACTTGTCTGTTATCAGTTGGTTCTTGAAATCAGTATGAATCTTACATCATGCTATGAAAAGCAACCTATTTATCTTGGGAGCTTACTTATACCAGTATTTCATCGCTTCTCAGAATTCCTCAAGTTTCAGGAAATAAAAATGGAAAGGGCAAATAAACCCAGTAACTTTATCTTAATACCTCAAATATATTTATTTGATAGTTTAAGACCACTTGACCATAATTCATAGGCAGAATTCTAGATCTCATCTCTAGAATGCTTTAATAACTTTCTCAGTGTTTTTCAAAGCATAACCTTTGTAATTTGCGCAAAACACTGTGTTCAACACAGTATGTGTTCTTCCATTTGCAGTGCTAACTTATCACACTAAAGATGTTCTTTTACTACAGTGGGCCCATTTTTTTTTTCCAGTTGCAAGTTACAGCAAATAGTGTAAGGGGTTTTCCTTTGTTAGTGAACCAAAACAGTAGGAGCCCTCATGCTCAAGGATGTCTTTTAGGTACAGATTACTTAGCTTATTTTCCCATTGAAATGCTTTTTTAGGTAATTTTAATTGTTGTTTGCATCTTACTTATGAATGACTTCAAAGTTTTTGTTTTATTGTTTTAAATTCCACCATAGACTCTTCATGTTTGAAGAATTACCAACATAGATGAATCCATCCCCTGCCTTGCTTTTGGAGAGTTCTCACATTTGTCTTCCAACTAAATTTGCAGAGTGTGCTATCTCACACTGAAAACATTTACCTGAAATGACTTTAGTAATTCTAGCATTGTGTAATTCCTGCATGTGGACATTAGTTAAAATAATTTCTAACACAGTATTTTTATATAAACTTTTAGATTTATCTTGTTTTTAAAAATCATTCAATATGAACATGGTAATATAAACTGAAATACCTCATTTTCTTATGAAACATAATAGAAATTTCTTATTTAATATATATCTTAAGCCTAATTCCTTTTGAAGCATTGTGCTACATAAAACTGACCACTTCATGACCAATAAGGACAATGTTTTATTGAACAAATCTATGTACAGTACAAAAAATTTCTTGAAATGAGACACTATTGTTGACTTATTGCATCAATGGCTCAGTTTTAATTTGTACTCTTATAAAATGCAAAGTAAAATAATGTTCAACAAGGAAGCACAAATCCCTTTCTTGCTGAACCTGTAATTATCTTTCACATATTAACAATCCCAAAATGCATATGCAGCATTTAGTCATTCTGAAAAGGTGTTTTACAGTACCAAATAAATTAAAAAATAAACACTATTATCCCTTTTAGATTTTTAATCCATACAACAGCTTAAACCAAACATGAAAGGCTGAACCTTCACCTGTGATTTGAGAAGAATCACAAGTTCAATGTTATAAATTATCTAGTCATTATATAACTGGCAGTTAAGAAAAAACAAAAGCGATTATGGCTGGAGCCCAAAGTACCAGTGTCCTTATCCACGGAGATTCCCCCTTTCTACCTCCTCCATAATATCTGAGCAGCAAAAATTCAGATTTGCTGTTTTCTTGACCTTACTGAAACATAACAGAAAGTTAGTATTTAATGTTTTGAAGGCAATTTTTTTTAAATTTAAAAACAAAGGATTGAAACTTGGTCAATTTAAGATAACACATCCTCAAAAGAGGAGTAGAAAAGAAAGAGAATAAACTGAGGAAAAAGAAAGCTTCCTTTTCTTCTGGATTCCAGATTAGAACTGTTGCAACTGATGTGTTTACTTTATAAAACATATATAAAATGTACACATTCTTTCAATAGCAATTATTTGAGAAATACATTAAGAGGTTAGAACAATGTGGTCAAATAGAATTTTATAAGACATTCCTTGACTTATGTATAAACCAGTTTGAACTCAGTCTTTCAGAAAGTTTTCCCTCAGCAACACAAAAGCAGAAATAAAACTTCAAATTAAAGACAAAAAAAATCACACATGGTATATGTTTAAAACATCTTGGTATGAACTACAAAGTCAATGAAAATACTTTGTAGACATGGTAGTTTCAACTTACAAAAAATAAGTTAAAAATGTTAATTTGCAATTTTAAACTTATGGAATATGAAACAGAAATTATATTTGAAAAAAACGTAATTGTCCAAATGAACTAGTTTCCAAACAGACTTTATTGCATGATTATTCTAGACTAAACTGAAACAGATCTCAAGTGTTGTATTTTTAGTCTCAGGGAGTATGGAAAACATTTTAAGTTGACTTTAAAGAATTTTAAAAAATCTAATTGATTTGTATGTACTTGTGCTATTTAAAAGTAAGTCACACAGCCTAATGTAGGCTACATTTAAAAAAAAAAAACAAAAACACTAAATTATATTGGAATGGTATGACTGTCAATTGCATAGTAGTGAATGTCCATGATAAATAAGCTAATAAAATTGGGAAATTTTTTAGGTGTCTGATCTATCATGACCTATCATGACTTGAAAACCCTAATTTAATAAAATCTGGGTGTACCCTGAAAGAAATGTCCCACTTGCTTGGTAACTTCATTCAGTAAGTTTTAATATTCAAAGTATTTGGATATGGTAGGAGCTGATGAGATTATCTACTTTGAACAAAAATGTGTCAGTTGGAATACTGGAATATTTGGTTGACACTGGTACGATATTAGCTCAGTTTTTGAAGAATCTGCCTTTGCCTTTTGTTCGTTTCATCCCTGCTACATATTAACACACTGTTAGGTAAATGGAGGTCTTTTAACTTTCCTCTTTTAGAAAATGTACAAGTGTTGGGTTGGCCAGAAAGTCCATTTAGTTTTTTCCATAAAATGACACATTTTCCATTTTCACTAGAAACTTTATTAATTTGGATATCTTGAGTACATCACCTATCATGCACATGGAGTGATATTAGTTGTTCTTAATGTCTCAATTTGATCACTATTAATTTCAGCTGGTTTACCCAACGGTGGAGCATTGGCCAGCAAGAAATAACCAGCACAAAACTTCACAAACCACCTTTGACACATTCAGTCACTGCACCTTCTCCATACATTGCACAAATCTTTTTTTTTTTGCATTTCAGTTGTGTTATCTTTCTTAAAATGATAAAGCATAATATGCCAAAAATGTGTATTTTAATCTATCTTCAATATTGAAATGGCTGCACAAAAATTCACCAATTTTGATACCTTTTTTTTAAAATGCATGCTGATACAATACCTGTCACAATACAATGTAATAAAATTCCTTCCAATGAAGTTAAACACAACTAAGTGCTACTAGGGTCATCTTACAGAAAAAACAAACGAACTTTTTGGCCAACCCAATAGAACATATCTGAGAGGGTATTTAAAAAACACTTTTTGTCTTAACAATTTATTGACAATTAAGTTAAAATCTTCCTTAGGAAAATTACTGGTCATTAAGGAAAATAAATGTGTCAATATATCTTACTGTATTCTTGTGCAAATTTTTGTGTAAATATTCCCTTTCATATATATATATATAAAAATTACTATTCAGACCAAATTCATCACTAATAA